TTTAATAAAAAGAAAAAGCAAACATGTTGACAATGTTATTTGTCACTAGAAATACATACCGTTTTCTTCCTCAGCACATTTGTCAAGGTCCTTCGACAGTTCTTTACACAGATCTCCCTCTGCCATAACTTCATGGAGCTGGTCTCTAGCAACTTCTTGCATTTGAAGCATATAGGGAGTGACATTCTCAAGGACAGCTCTATATGCTTTCAGGGCTTCAACAGGGGCCTTTACCTGAAAATCAGGCAAATGCATCAGGTTAAGCAGGTGTTGTATGGAAACCATGATATAAGTCAGCACAAAAACAACCCTACATGCTAACAATTGATACCTAAGTGGAAAATAAAAAAAACAAGGCTCACCTTTTGTTGCAAGTAAGGCTTTAGGTTCTGAACACGATGACGGTCTAATTGGCATTGGCGCACTGCAACTTTCTTACATGTATGACAATACTTGCTGAAACAATACGAGTCACAAGATTTTTTGTTGTAAACCTATTAAATAAACAACTATACTAAACTTACTTTTCTGAAGTTCCACTGCTGATTAAAGCAAAGACAGTTGTCAGATCTTCTGGTCTTTTAGGAATTCTCTGGAACGCCAGAATCTCTCACATAAACAACCATGTAAACGAAATTAATTTAAATATGTATGTAAATACCTAAAGACTAACCTGACGACAGTTGGGGCAAATGCTTTGCGCTTTCTGCAGACATTCCAAACAGAAAGTATGTCCGCAATCAGTTACTTTGGGGAGTCTTAGTACTGGGGAGGAATCATATGGCTCAAAACAAATAGCACACGCGGAGGGATCTCCTTCCATGGTTAATTAACAAGAAAAAACAACGCTTTCGTCGAAAACACCACTAATCCATGAAAAGTACGAGTCACAGAAGCTGAAGTTTCCAAGAGAGAGGAGTGCCACCGACATGCAATCATTCGCCCGACTGATAAGAAATGTGAGGGGCCTGGCCTAGAATGATGGCTGTCAGCTGTCACTAAAGGCTAAAGGCAGGGGAATACCTCGCACCGGAAAAGTCACATTCACATTGGTTTGCCGGCTGCGCCGTCAGTACCAACATGGTACCAACTTCTGACGTCGCATTGTTGTTCAGTGATAGAAACATTTCTGTAGCGAGGGCGAATATTGAGTTTTTTTCGTTAAAAAAACACGTTTTTAACGAGAAGACTCTGTATTATTGTGAAATAATATGTTTGTACATTTTTAAATTACAACACGTGTGCCGAAGATTGCGGCCAGGGTTCCGACGAACTCTTTTTTTTCGACCAACGGCGAAAACCAAGAAGAACATCATCAAGAAGTCTTTCCGTCGTATCTTTTTCTAGCGTGAGTGGTTGCAGAGCTCATCCAAGTAAGTTCTTATCCGAGGTAAAATATATAATCTTGTTTTATCAGACTTCCTCCATCGTAAAATATTAAATTAGGGCCATTGTCGGGAAATTTTAGTTAACTTGCGATTCGTCTAGTTATCCAGGTTGGGTGTCTGTTGTAAAATTGTTTGCCGCTCATGTCCTACGGTGTGGACACGTACATAAATAAACAAGCATTGTCTCAGGCCCTTTGAACTGAGTAATTTTTGTTCACCAACAATTCCGTTTCTACATTTGCCCTTAGTGATTAGTATCACTCACTTCCCTCTGTTGTGCATTTTATGCGCTCGATCTTTGTTGGGTTTGTGCCGGCTTAACCTCACTGCACCATAACGTTTCACTTGGGACATGCCATTTTGGCTTTCTTTTGCTTGTTTAAATTTTCTCAACGCTAGTACCTAAACTCTGTTTCCACTTCTTGTTTTGAGTTTATGAATTGTCTTGCCGCACCTGTTTGTAGTCATTGCATCGCATTCACATTCTTAATTGTAGCCTTGTTATCATTCAAACTTTGTCTTGTGATTTCAGAGGCACCATGACGATCCGACCTGTGTACCGTCCGGACATAGTCAAAAAAAGGACAAAAAAGTTCATTCGCCATCAAAGTGATCGTTATGGCAAACTTAAGGTATTGTCCTGTTCTACTATGAATATGTTTTGCTTGATCTTGCGCTGTGTAGTTACTTACTTTTGTCTCCTTTCTCCAGAGAAACTGGCGTAAACCTAAGGGTATTGACAACCGTGTCAGGCGTCGTTTCAAGGGCCAGTACCTGATGCCCAACATTGGTTATGGAAGCAATGCCAAGACCAGGCATATGCTCCCGACTGGGTTCAAGAAGGTGCTTGTACACAATGTGAAGGTATGTTAAATTTCTTCTTGTGCATCTTAGATGCATATTGTGAGCTTTATGGATATCAAAATTCTGGTAGCCAAGCCTGGCTAAGTCATAAGTACTTCCAGCCTGAGCTTGTACCTGCTGTTCTTTTTTTCTTGTTTTGAAGTACTGCTTTACTCAGTGTATTGTCTTATCCTGCTACTCCAGGAAATCCAATAATTTAAGATTGTTTCTCTAATCTACTACGTCTTTCTGTTTCAGGAACTGGAAGTTCTTATGATGCAGAACCGCAAATTTGCTGCTGAAATTGCCCACGCTGTATCTGCTAAGAAGCGGAAGGCTATTGTTGAAAGAGCTCAGCAGCTGTCTATCAGGTTAACTAATGGCAATGCCCGTATGCGCTCTGAAGAGAATGAATAAATGTTTTCCATAATTTATCTCGTCATCTATGAATCCCTGGAAGTTACACCCAAGTTCTCACTCATTTTCATCCTTTCAGCCTATGAACTGTTACATATGATTCATGCTGCTTCACTGCATAAAATTGTGATTTTTTGTAAGGTACACAACAGCCACACTCTGGCAATGCACTGGTTGTTGTATTACCTTAAGTAGGGAACTCTCACAACTTGCTGGGATTACTGAATAGAATAAAGCATTTGGATGAATCTCACAAAGGTTGCGGAGCTAAAAGAAATAGCAATCAGTCGGTCTAATATAGTGACTTCTCTGTTCCAAAGTTAGTCATTTACTTCTATAACACATTGTTTTCAAACAACTAGGTAATTCAACCTAGGTCTGAAAGAATTTCATTGAAGAATTTGATTTATTTCTATTTCTCCTACTAGATGGTAACTTTGCGGCCAAACAAATTAACTTGTTATAGAACACGGGTTGCAATGAAAGTATGGAACACAAGAGTTAAACAAAGCCTCCATCGTTTGCCACAGAAAATGAATTACCTGAACTTTAAAAGAGCTTCAATTTAAGCAATTGTTTGAAAGCAAAGGTGGTTACAACTATTTCCAACGGTGTTCTTTATCTTGTTCCCTTCATTCCTGTGCATTTTTTACTTCATAGGAATTACTGAACATTGGACAAAAAATCAGTCTTTCCACTTTCTGGATAGCAAGGGAAGTCAGATTATGAGACCTCCTTTGAAGGTGGAGATGAGATGGGTGCCAAATGGTTGTGATTGGACAGCAAGTTTTCCACTATATTTTATTACATTGTAATAGTTATGATTACATTTAGAATGAAAAGGCTTAAGCTTTGGCCTTCTGTTTACTTTGGACTCTATCCTTAGTTTTCTCTTTAGCTTTCTCATACAATGGCAACAACTGCCCTTCCTTAGCCAATACTTTAAGCATTTCAACAATTAACGGCAGATAATTGTGCTTTCGACGAACATTTTCTACTTGGTAACGTTTTCTCTTACGATCTTCATCTTCAATCAGAAGACGCAGTCTGGAAAGTTCTGCTTGCTGGCTATCAGTTTCCATCCCTCCTTCCTAGAAAAGATAAATGGAAAAAAAAAAGACACTTGTCAATTAACAGTATTACAAATAGATTTAACACACATGAGCTCTTTAAAGAAACACTAACTTCAATTTGTTTCTCGATCTTCTCCACTTTCTTTTCGTATTTGGTCTTGCGGTCTGAGATGAGAGCCATCAGGTTAAAGTTTATCTCTCCTTCACTATACCTGAGACGTAATAAGAAATTTTGTTTGTAAATGGGGTGTCTCACACACACTGAATAAACTTCTGGAAACTATGTTTTATTTAAAAAAAACAAAAAAAAAACTCACTTTTTCATCCTCTTTTCAATGACAGGCCGCACAATATCCAACCAATCTTTATCAGCAGGTATTGGTCCCAAATCAATTGGCCCTTCTCTAATGCCGTCCAATTCATAGAGTCGACCATCAATAGGCAGGTAGCTGACAAAGTGATAAACATCATCATCTTTGGTGGCAGCTTTGCTATCAAATTCAAATAAATTCTGCCTAAAAGAGAAAAAAAGGACAAAATGCAAATGTGGCAAATGAAATATGTATGGTAGTTAGACCAACAAAAGGTAAGTTAAGTAAAAGAACAGGCTATTACCTTGCAAAGGAATTATGTACTGTTCGTATGGTTTGAGAATTGCTAAGAGAAAGACCTTTCATGTTGGCATCAAATGTCTGGCAGAAATCTTTGAATTCTGTAAGAGTCGATCCCAAGGTAATATCAGGGTGTTTGCAATTCAACAAAATGCTGATAATTGCTTGTGTAGCACAAGCATTGTTTATGACCTATGAACAAAACAGAGTTAATACACAGCAACAATGTACACATATGACAACCGGAAGAATGTGTCAGGTAAACAAAAGCAGCATACTTGTTGAGCAAAGAATATTTTCTCCAAACGTGTATCCAAAACAACAGGACCAGATGGCTCTTCATCTTTAATCCATTTAAATAAAAAGATAAGTCCATGAATAGGCCTTGAACAAAGCAAAAAATACCATGATCAAACAATTTTTTATTTTATTTTTAAGTTTATAAATTAGTAAATTGTTACCTGAACATGAAATACGTACTTCAGATTTTCAAACTGATCAGAATCCAAACTCCACAATTCCTCCACCTGACATCCTTTCACACCTGTAAAACAGAGGAATTGCATGAAAGTTGCACTGCAACATAGAGCAATTGTTGGTGGTGATAAGCAAATGCAAATGGTCTTATGTATATATAATAGGACAAATTACACATAATTTAACTCTGTTCAATGGTTTCAAACCACAAATAATTTAACAAATTATATGAAGAAGATGAACTTCCCAAATTATAGAGTTTAACTTTGACAGTACAACAATTCATAACAGCTGGACTAGAGTGTAAAACATATAATGCGATGAAGCCAAGCCATAAAATTGAGTAGATAAAACTAGTTCTCGAAATAGTGTAATTGATGAGATGTGATGTATTGAGAGTTCATAGAAACAGCACACAATAAGTACAACAGTACACCGAAAATCTAAAGTGAATGTCACTGCCACTGCCTATGAAATAACAAAAGTCTCACCAAACTTATTTATTAACTCCGTAAATACTCCTGGATCACTTTCAATGAGACACCAGTCACCAGCCGACATTGTGAAATATCAGCTTTACCAAAATTAAAAGCAGGGTGACTCTTCCAAACGCTAACTCAAACCTGAGTGAAAAACAGGATGTTTAAAATTTCTCTTTGGTCCTTAACCCCTAAACAGAAATGGGGAGGGTAGGGTACCGGCACTAGTCGATCCTCATTTCGAGTATCGACTTTATTGATTCGAGATTCTACACAAACAAAAAACCTGCGCGTCTTCGGGGCCGTGCTGCGTTGCGTGCTGCGTGCTGCCAAGGCGGTATTCTTCCATCACGCGAAACGCAAGCGGGTCGTGCGTACACTTTCTCCTTCAACTCGCTTAAAACTGTACTTGGAACGACTCGGCAAGTTAGACAATTGTGTTGGACTTTTTTACTCGTTGCGGCGCACTGCTTAGCAGTGTAAACGCTGTAACGCCCAGACTACGACCATGACATCCCCGAGTGAAGTGATTGCCATCGAAGGAGCCGGCGACAGGCGCGGCTCTGACAATTCAAGATTCAAAACTAATTTTAAGCCCAAAAAGCAGTTTAAACATTACCCTTACTTTGTTGACCCAGCTATCGTGCCCAGAGTGAAACAGGTTAGTGTTTGCCTAATCTAATCTTAACATCTCGTTTCATCTAGCAGGTTAGTCGTCAACAAACTTTAGTATAATTTTAACCCCTTTCTTTCTTATTTGGTGTTGTATTTTCTTTATCATTGAGTATGGTGCTTAGTTAAACTTACTATATTTATGTTAAAGTGTAAAACTCTTTTATGCCAGTCTTTAATTCAGTACTCTTTTCATTTTATAACACTTAGTCAAGCTCCTGATAACTTAGCCTGGTAGGCACCTGTTGACATGTCACATAAAGTAATGTTACTCACAATGTGTGTGGTTTTACTACATAATGTGATGTCTTACAATATTTTACTCCATCTGGCTGGGTTTTTGGGAAAGAATTCCTGTTAAAAGAAATACTAATTTTCTATTGACATTGGTGTTTTGTGTATCTTTGTTTTTCTAGTATCTGGAAGATAACAAAGATAAAGTTTACATCGATATTGAAGAGATGGTTACAGAATTGCAACGTAAATACAGAGACTATGGAAAGAGAAAACGCTCTGTTTTCAAGGGCTTGGTTGAAAAAGGTAAGCTAATCTTTTTTATAGTATAAAAGCTATTTCAATTGCTAATGGTAGAGCCTTTCCTTAATTTCTTGAACTTTGTTTATGTTTTTTTGTAGCCTTTTCAGTTGTCTTGAAAACTTACAATTTGAATGATACTTCAAGGGATGGAGATGACGCAGATTCATCAAGTGTTTCCGATATGGATATTGATTCTGAAGATGTGGATCTGATTGTGGTAATAATTCTTTTTCTTCCTTTTAATACATCCCATCTTTAAATATATATTTTTGTTTTGTTTCTCCTGTAATTAATCCCAGGTATCCACGAATTTAACCTGTTTTAACTTGAGATGCATTATTCTAATTATTTATGGAAGTTTTGAACTGTTAAAGACATATTGAGGTTAACCGAATTTTGTTTTCCTACTTTCTTCTAGGAGCCTAACACTAGTAACTCTCAGGTGTTGAATATGTACATGCAGCAGCAAGCTATGAAGTAAGTATAACTGTTTTGAGGTTCTGCTTTCTTAATATTTCTTTAGGTTATGTGTTCTGACAAGGTTATGCTCTTGAATTTTTCATCTTTATTTTTATTTCTTGTCATTCCATTCTCTTATCTGATCTTTTATTATTTTTGAAAGGAAACTTACCCCTGCCAAACTTGGAGGTAATGAAGGGGCTAAAGAGTTGATTGATATCAGTAGTGATGATGATGAAGAACAGGCACCTGCAAAGCGCAGCAAACATGGAGAAACTGCAGACGTCGCAGAACCAAATCAATCCATTTCTCCTGTTTCCCAACCACTCAAACCAGCTAATGGACAGGCTACTCCTCAAGAGGTTGCTATAGCTATTGAAAATGGTTCCAACATTTCTGTAAGTTTTTTTTTTTTTTTTTTTTTTTTTTTGTTTGATACAGTTTATCCGTAAATTTTTTGCTTTGCAATGGCTTATTTGATGAAATCCTGTATCCCTTAAGTGTTATCAAAGAATTCTTAGAGCTCTGTAATTTATTCATGTTTTAAATTCAGCAATGTTTCTATATTGTTTCTAGTCTGCAGTGGACAGTGCGTCATTGAAACCAACTCCTCCAGCTCTTCCTGAGAGACAAAAGCGCAAGAGACCTGTTGTTGAGGGTGGAAGCGGATCTGCAAGTTCTACAAATGCCGATCTTTCAAAGAGAAGGAGAAGAGAAATTCCAGTTGTGAGACCGAACTGTTCTTTTAAAGATATTGGTGGTTGTTCAGCTGTATTACAGGTGCCAAGCATTTTTCCACAGTTTTGTTTCTGTACCCTTTACTCTGAGCCCAATATCTAAGTTCTTATTACGATTTTTAGGAAGTTTGTAAGCTGCTAGTCCACCTGCGACATCCTGAAATTTTTGAACAGATAGGTGTAACTCCACCTCGTGGATTTTTGCTGCATGGTCCTCCTGGTTGTGGAAAATCCCTACTTGCAAGTGCCATTGCTGGTGTAAGTCATTGTTGTTCAAACTTTTGGTTGTAATTATGTATTTGTAAGGCTGCTTATGGTTTTTCTAAGCCTGACTTGTTTCAATCTGTTTTTGTAGGAACTTGGAGTACCATTCTTAAAGGTAGCAGCACCAGAACTCATAGCAGGTGTGTCTGGGGAGTCTGAGGAAAGAATTCGTGACTTGTTTGATCAAGCAGTATCACTAGCCCCATGTGTTTTATTCCTCGATGAGATTGATGCTATAACTCCTAATCGCAACAACGCTCAACGAGAAATGGAGCGCCGCATTGTGGCCCAGCTCCTCACAACTTTGGATGGTTAGAAATTTTTCAACAGCTCACTATAGTTATATCTGTTACGGTAAAAGTCTGTAGTCGGTTAATGTCGACATTAACTGGTTAAAGTTGACTCTAGCTATCTATCTTGTTTATTAATTTATCAGCAGCTCATAATTACATTTTCTATGCTTCATTATTATGTTAAGTAGAGTACTTTGACAGTGTTGAAAACTGCTTTCTCTTTGTAGAACTTGGCGAAAAGGAAGGCGGAAATCAAGTTTTAGTTGTTGGTGCCACAAACCGTCCAGACTCACTTGACCCTGCATTGCGTAGGGCAGGTCGTTTTGACCGAGAAGTTTGCATGGGTATTCCAGATAAAGAGGCCAGGGCTCACATTTTGAGAGTAGTTCTAGGCCGTTTGGCCTTAGCTCCAGAAGTTTCATCAGATGCTGGTATTGAAGAATTAGCTTCTCTAACTCCAGGATTTGTGGGTGCGGATCTGTCTGCCCTAACGACAGAAGCAGCTATGGTGGCTGTGAATAGGTTAGTGGTTTATCTGCTCCAGAGATTTTTTCTCAAACTAGATCTGAAAACTTAGAAATAAATTTCTTAATTTGTTTCAGAGTATTTGTGCAAGTTCAAGAAAAATCAAACAACATGAAGGAAACAGCACCTCAACAAGGTCAGGTGTGTGAAAATGGCAGTACTGATTCTCCAGATCAAAAGTGTGAAAACGTAAGCACTGACTCTCAAGCTCAGCCAATTAATGAAAGCAGCACTAATTTAGAAGAAGCTGCCAGTCAAACTGATAAAAGTACAACAGTTGCTCATGTCCAGATGGATACTAATGAAGGTCAGACTCAAGAAGCTGCACAAAAAGTTGTTGAAACATGTGAAACAGGTAAAGATGCAGAAGTAACCACTACTGAGAAAATCACATCAGAGACCATACTAGAGGAGTTAATCACAGGTAAAGAAGAGGAACCAATGAATATTGTTTCTTCTGAACAAGAACAAATGCAGAGTGCAAATATTGCACCTGTATCAGAAATTAATGACCAAGAAAACAATGTGGCATGCCAATCTGGTGCGGGAGATGAAGTTGAAGTGATACCTCAAAACAACGTAAATGCAATTGTGAAAGAAGCTGAACCTGAACAGTGTATTAATAAAAAGACTGATGATGATGTACAAGTTTTGGAAGTTGAAGCTATACAAGAGGAAGCTCTGCAGCACACACCAGATCAGGAGAAATCTGATTCGATTGAGGTAGGTTCCTTTAGTATAATGAAGTCTGTCCCTTCTTTTTCTTTTTACAAATCTCAACAAATCTATTCACCATTTTTTTTTATTTTTTTTTCATTTTCTAGGTTGTACAAAATGAACTATCACTTTCTCAGAAGCTGCTACCTCTACCTCTGTGGTCACCAGAATTATCCCAACTGATGTCATGGCTTAAAGATACCCCACCCCTGACAACATCTCAACTTAATGAATTGACTGTTACTATGTCTGATTTCCATCAAGCTCTTCGTCATGTGCAACCATCTGCTAAGAGAGAAGGATTTGCCACTGTTCCTGATGTGACCTGGGATGATGTGGGATCTCTTGCTAATGTTAGAGCAGAGTTACAGATGTGTGTTTTGGCACCAGTAAGATACGCCAAGCAATTCTCAGAGTTGGGATTGAATTCACCAGCTGGAGTTTTGTTATGTGGACCTCCTGGTTGTGGGAAAACTCTCCTGGCAAAAGCTGTTGCCAATGAGGCTGGGATTAATTTTATTTCTGTGAAGGGACCTGAGTTACTGAATATGGTATGTTCATGAAATATTGTAGATCATTTACTAGCTTGTTAAGTTGATTGGTGGTGTAATTTTATTGTTTTCATTTTCTTAGTATGTTGGAGAAAGTGAACGTGCTGTTCGTCAAGTTTTCCAAAGAGCGAGAAACTCTGCTCCTTGTGTTATATTTTTTGATGAACTGGATGCTCTCTGTCCAAAGCGATCAGATTCTGGTGATGTAAGTTAATTTTCATTTTAGTTTTGTTTCCTTGCTGTGTATTTCCTCTCCTAAGATTTTACTGTAATTTAATTATTTTTGTTTAGAATGGTGTTAGTAGTCGAGTAGTAAATCAACTGCTCACAGAAATGGATGGCATTGAGGGCAGAAAAGCTGTGTTTCTTATGGCTGCTTCTAACCGACCTGACATAATAGATCCAGCAGTATTGAGACCTGGTCGATTGGATAAAATTGTTTATGTAGGCTTGCCTAATGCTGAAGATCGCAAAGACATCTTAAGGGCATTAACTAAGGTATATATCGTTTCTATCATTCAAACCGATTTTTAACCATACTATTTTATTTTGGCGCCTTTAGTTTAACACTTTGATTCTCTACTTGTAGAATGGCACAAGACCTGAGTTGTCTTCTGATGTAAATCTCGGAGAAATCGCGGGTAGACCTGTGTTGGAAGGTTACTCTGGTGCTGATCTTGCTGCTCTTGTACGGGAAGCTGGAGTTCAAGCTCTTCAAGAATTTATCCAAACAGAAGACCAAAAAGGACCACTATGTGTGGCCCTAAGACACTTTAATTCTGCAGTAGCTAAAATCAGACCGTCTGTGACTGGAAAGGTAGTGTTTTCTTCACATTTTTCTGTTTTTATTGTTCTGTAATCAATCACTGTTCTTATACTTTTGTTTTTTCTCTCTTAAAGCAAAGGGTCCATTATGAGAAACTTGGGGCTCAGTACAACAAAAATACATTGGTGAGTGATAAATCTGAGACCATGGACACAGCTTGATAATTTTATGTGTAACTCGTGTTAACTGATTTATTACACTTGCTTGTTATTTGTTAAGTTAATGTCGTAATGGTGGCACTTAGGTGTTGATATATTTGTTCTTGTTTGTTTTTTCACCTCCTTGGAACATTTGATTAGTTTGGGGGGGGGGATAAGGATTTATCATGACTGAATTTTAATTAAAAATGAATATAAGATGTAAATACTATGCCTATCACTTCTTTTAATGAGTTTGACCGTTACTTCACTTTGCCTCACTCAGAAACATTGTTGTTAGAGCCCAAGGCTCTTTATGCTTATTGTATATGTAGCTTTCCTGACAAGGGAAGGTTTTCCGGTGATACAGTCAGATTTCAATGGCGCTTCAAGGTGGTGTTGTTTCCATCCCTAGGTTTTACATTGGTTTCAGCTGCCCGTAGGGTGTTTCAAGGTCGTTTAAATTGCTAACTAGAAGATGATTTCCTGCAAAATCTGGGCGCTGTGGCCTAAACGGTTCCGGAGATATGTGCATGCAAAGATGGCAATAAAGCAATCAAATAGGGGAATTTTTGATTTAATTCGCGCAAAATGACCTTTAAACTCCTTACGGGCAGCTAAAACCAGTGCCAAACCTTATCTAGGGTTGCAAACGACTACACTTTAAAGTGCCATTGAAATCTGACTGTATCACCGGAAAACCTTCCCTTGTAAGCCAACATGTGCAGTAATCATGTAGAGTTTATATATTCCAAATAGTGTATTAAGAAGTTATGTACTGTAGTTACTCTCAATATCTATGAAATTTTTTGAGAATAATGAAATATAATCTATCTTAAGAATTGTGTTGATTTAGTTTTCCTTGGAAATTTTATGTCTGGATTATATCAACTGGTACCCATTATTGATAGTGATTTGTAGGTGTATTACTTTAACATGAGTGCATTACGTCATGCAATGACCGACACAACTTGTAAAGCAGAGCCAAATTTTATTACACGATTTAGAAACCAATAAATAAGGTTTTAAGTTTAAGTACAGCATTTCAGTTTTCATTTCATGCTTTGTCATTTTTTTAAATACTGCTGAGTACATTAACAGCTGTTGGTCAGCTGTGTACAATTAAGCAATTTTGTCAAGAGCTTTGAATGCCATATTAGTGGTAGGCAAATCTGTTATAAAAGTAGTGTGCCATTTACTTACTAATGTATTCAGAATAAGTGTGACAATATATGTACTCAATTATCAACACCAATACCACACGAAGATATTTAACAGAGAAAAGTATTAACTAGACACAATAAGACAGTTTTTACTTTGTGTTTGATTGCAACAAACAAGTAGAATAACAAGAGAGAAAAAAAACAAAAAAACTACACTTTGTAATTTTCAATGTTGTCAATCACAAATATTTTAGATCACAGACTTTCAAGTGTTGTATCAACTATAAAACTTTATAAAACAGCGATGTTAATGATAAACAAAAGTTTGTTCCCAACAATCTCTCTTAATGTGTAGCCTGCTACTGATTATTATCAACCTTTTTACTGTCTGATGTAAAGAACTCATGGGACTTCAAGGTGATGTAGGCAGATTGTTCTAATTGTTTTTCTGCTTCAGAAATGTCATTTCTTATGTCTGCAACCAATGCATCTGGAAAGAAAGGAATTATTGTAGAGCTAAAACTTTGTACATTTGGATTCAAGTACTACACAAGATGATGGTGAGCCTCACATAATCAATCTTGTATGTCACACCACAGACATTCAATTAAAAAAGAGGTGTAACTTTACATTTTGTGATAATAGTATTTTTACGCAAATAATTTTGAGTGAGCATAAAAAGATAAATGCAATTCAGGAAATCATTAAGTTAAAGGTGTGGTCTTTACCTAAGGAAGAGTAATCTTTTTCTGGACGAAGGTAACCCAACATACAGACTTTCAGGTAACGTCCATAAAAATCTGATGGAAATTTATGTAAAATATGGGTTTCCTGAAAATTACATAACATATTAGTGATTGGTGCATATCCGCATGGAACGGAACTCAATTAGATTCTAATATACATAGACTACCTTACCATGGATTTCTCAACATTCTTGTAGTATGGATTCCACCCAACACTCATAACCATTTTATGAATAGCTCCGTTGTCAATTTGAGCCCAGCCAAAGTAAACGCCAGTTTCCAGTTCAACTGGCAGTTCCTTCACAACATGTGGTTCAAAATTAGCTAAAAATTGAGAAGAAAACAACTCTGAAATCTGGTCTAACTACGCCAAAGATGAATTTGTTGTCGGTTCAAAACTCTTTGGACCTGTTTCTGTTAGTTTTTCGTGGGTGTAGGTTAGGTTAGGTATTTTAGAGGGTGGAGAAATGTAAAGTATTAAAGACAAGACATTGCAACTCACCTGTAGGAATGCCAAGTTCTTTGGAACCTCTTCCAAACCCTTTCACTACCGTACCCGCTGCAAAATGAGGGAGGCCTTTTTTGAACGTCATCGTCGACTGTCAATTACACCTGCAGCCGTTCCAACTTGCAGTCTCGTCTGCTAAATCTATATGTGGCAGACTGATATACTTGTCTCCTTCTGCTTAACACCAGCACGCGTTCGTATCTTTTCCGCAGAGAGATTATTGAGAGACAGAGGATTAAATGGCAAAGCTCCTCTTCTCCATAACTTCACACGTCACCGAAGATTGCTATCAATACACGTATTATGCCTCTCTCTTTTTACCTCTCGTTCTGTGTACCTGGATGCCGAAATTTTGGAGTTGGGCGCGGGTATTGTTGCCAACGCTGCATTCTGAAACTATACGATCAACCAAACATCTTCCTGCTCTCGTCTAGTGAGGAAAGCGTCGGCAATTAATGTATGATATTGGTTGAAAGTGTGCAGAGATCAGCAGAGATCTAGAAATGAGTGTGAAGTCGGGAAACTATTCCGATGAAAATGTGATTACTAAATTAAATAAATCAGTCGTCAGCATTTGTTGGCGAAGAAACGGGGAATAGTAATCAACCAGCTGGGAGACAAAAGTCACTAAAAATATACAGAAAAGCAAAACACAAAAACTATTAAACCAACTAAGCCTTTGGTATCCCGGGAGCTTTGTCGTACAACTACTTATGCATCGACCCTTTAAAGAAGAAATGCCCACATCGCCCCTTCTACGGAAGGTCGGACACGATATTCTGTACAACGGCGATACATTGGACGAAGGCTATATCCTAAATTGTTGATTAAAGGCAAAGGCGAATAACTTTCAAAAGCAGTTGAAAATGACCCGCTTTTTTTTTGAACGATGTCCAGTTTCCGGTTTTGGTCGACAGCTGCGTCTGCGAATAGTGGACAAGATGGATCCCGAGGTATGTACATATGAGAATTATCCACATAGTACGTAAAATTATTGGCGAATAAAAGTTGTTGCAGTTTTTGTCAATGTTTAAAGTGTAAGAAATAACGTTAGCAAAACTCAAAGCGGTGCTAGACTTGCCCCACATTGCATTTTACGAATAGATGGTGCTTAAAACTTCAGCCCAAGACCCGCTGCCCGTTGCAGACATTCGGCACATTTAGCAGTTGAAAAGAATTAAAATTTCGATGTTTTTGTTTTTTATATTACTTCAAGATCGATATATGTCCAATTTTGATATATTCTAAAATCTTGCTCATGTGAATTAGTAATTCAAAATTTTCATTATTCAAAATAACCAATAAACTTCCTGAAACTAAATCAGATTGTCACTTTCATAGATTTGTTGAATGAGCAATATGTCCTCTATAGACACATTGACAGTGCAGTAATGTTAAAAACTGTGCAGGAATTGTTGTGTCTTCTCTTAAGTGTATTGTATGTTATTATTGTCATCAGTTTCCTTTGTTCCATAATTGTAGTGTAAGTTGTCTGCTTATTTACTCTAAACCTAAGCACATTTAAAGTTAATTTTGTGTCTCTCAAAAACACTTCTCTCACTTGGAATGTTTGAAAGTTTTTTAGTAGTCTTTTTCTAATTGAAGTTTCACATTATTGTTGTCACTGGTATTGTTTTATGTTTCTTCAAAACTGATCACTGTCTCAAGTATTTTTTTTTTGTCCAAGTTTTAAAGAAAACTTATTTTATATTCTCATCTCCTGGTTTTTCACACCAGTATCTTTCTTCACAGGTTGAAATTGTACAATGATGTTAACGTCAAACTTGACGTTTAATTCTTGGCCTTGGCTGTAAACCATAAACGTTATCTAAAAATGGACGGAGAAGATATTCAAATCTTAATTGAATCCAATAAAACTACACAAATTGAGGATTTAAAGAAAAAATTTTATGAACAATTTAATTCAAGTAAGTATAGATTGCTTTAAATTTTTGGAAGATTCTTGCAAATTTAAAGAATTTATCCATCATGTTTTATATCTTTTCATTCATTTACAGCAAAAGACCCATGGCTGTTGAATGGTATTTTCGATTGTTATTTACAAACAAGCAGTATGAGACTGGTTGAAATTTTAGTTGGTGTCAGGGAGCCTCATGACATGCATCTTTTTAATAAGTAAGATTACGTAATATACTTTATTAACATTTTTCTTGTTATTCAACTTTGTTTATAACTTTTTACTTGCCATACAAACTACTTATTGTTGCTTACTTTCAATTATAGATTATCAGAAACACTAAGAGGTCAATCAAAGCTACAGGCACTCACATTATTGGGACATGTTGTGCGAAGAAGACCTACATGGCTCATTAAAATTGTTAAACATCAAGTGTTAAATGATCTTCTTCGAATACTGAAAGTATGTTTTGTTATCCTCTTATTCAATTTAACTGTCCAGATATCCTAGTGTTACATAAAATAATAAATCACTTTTCAGATGGAGACAGATATTATTCTGGTGATGAGTGCGCTTTTAATCATCATTATTTTGTTACCAATGTTACCATCTTTGATGGCTCAGCATCTTAATGAAATATTTGATGTGTTCAGGTTTGTGAGCGATTGAGCTGTTATTTGCAGTAGCTTAATATACCTTTGAAATATTAATTTTAATGTAAATTTATTTTGTAGTCGACTTGCTGCCTGGAACACAAATAACCCCAACAAAGTACCAGAGTACAACCTTATACACCTTCAAGTTGGGCTTTGTGAATTATTCAATCGCCTATATGGCATGTATCCTTGCAATTTTCTATTTTACCTACGAAAGCAATATACACAGCAGGATAATCTGGATGTGTTCAGTCATACTATTAAGGTTAGTCAAATTTTTTCATTTAATAAATCCTAAGAAAATACATTTTGTTCTGGATTTGTTTGCATTTGTTTATTTTTTATCAGCCTATGGTCTACTCAGTACGAATGCATCCGCAACTGGTGACAACATCTAAAGATGCAGAGACAGCTCCAAGCAGGTGTGTTGCATATCTACTTTCCAGTGTTTGAATCTGATATTCAAGTGGTCTCTTAACAGCATTTGATTGAGTGTTTGGGTGTGTGTGTATGTGACCCTTCATTGTGTTGTTGATATCAATCTTGTTTCTATTGTTCTTTTTATAAACATTACAGGTGGGTGAAGATGGAAGATCATGACGTCATAGTTGAGTGTGCAAAATATGTTTTGGACACGTCAAGGGATGACTTTGGGACAGTCTCCAACTCAATTATGCATCGGTCCCATTCAACAATGGAACTTGCCATAGCACTGGGTACTTTCATTTTCATCACTTTATTTCCTGATTTTGAGGTGTTTCTTCAAGGCCTCTGAAAAAAAAAGTCACTGAGTTAATTATTGGTGTTCTTATGTATGTTTAGAAGATACACAGCAATCTTATGGAAAAACTATGGCATCTGATCTAGTACTAACATATAATGAAGAGTGGAGCCCAAGTTCTCGTTGTGGACTAAATACTCCACCCCCACCTGAGTCAACACCAACCTCAATTCCACACACACCCATCCAACAGGTTAGCTTGCTGTGTCAAAATGAATCATGAACAAATCAATTTGTGAAAATTTAATTCTTTTATTTTTTGTAGAACTATGTGGCAAGTACCTCATTTCCTCATCAAGAGGGCACATCGCCACCTGAGGCAGCTATTGAAGCTACACCAGAGACAACTCCCATAAAGGTATGTAGCTATCTTTTTATTCCTGTACTGTTCTCTTTGCTGTGGTTCTGGAGAAATTATTAATTTATTTCAGGATTTGCGGGTTTTACCGCGACAACCATTGGCTCCCTCTACTGTAGTGCGAGCCCTAAACCACTCCCTCAGCTCAGGTGGAAGTGCTCTCCCTCAAAAATGGCCCGGAGGTTTGACGGTGAGCACATCCTACTCACAACCATCATCGCCAATGAAAAAAGAACCATCGCCATTCCGTTATTCCGGAATTAATCAACAAATGACTGCCACACCACCTGTAAGATCTCAGAATTGTCCGAACCTACAAATACTATTAGCTTAGACTACATGCATTATTCACACTGCAGTTTTGTACCATACAGCCAACATTCCCATCAGATGTTCCAACAGTGTCAGCTTTCCAACAACCACGTCGTGACTCTCTTCCTCTTGGAGGCCATTCAATCATAGATCAACCATGGGAATCCACTTCTATGGCTAGAAGAGTTGCCAACCTAGTTCAGGAACGCAAGCAAGTAAGTGTTCAAATAATATTTTTACTGCTATAGAAACTCTCAATATAAATTAAGCAATTTTGTTTTTGAACTTTTTTGTTTTTTCTCTGTCTTGTTTTAAATATTCAAGCTGCCTCTACTTTACTGATCCTTTAACATCTCACAGATATCATCATCAGAAGGCTTTGTTGAAAAGCAGTTTAACCCTTCTACTGGTGCCAAGTCTCGAAGTACTGCTCTATCAAGTATCTCCTCAAATTCTGTTTTGTCATCAAGAATACCTTCCAGTCCACTTAGAGTTATTGGCTCTTCAGGAGTTCCACCAGAGAGCCCAGTTCCAATTGAACCTACAGCACCATTACCTGGATCAAGGGATTGGCCTATCACAAGGTAAGTAAACACAAGAGGGAATGTCTTACTTTTGCTGGCAAATGAACATATCCAATGTTCTGCGTGTAATGCAATGAATACTTAATATTATAAATTCTAACATTCTTCTCACTTACTTTGTAATTATTGTATGTGTCTCTTTGAATGTACTTAGGCCAACTCCTGAAAAGAATGGTGTGCATTTAGCAGAAGGGCACACCTCCAGTGTATCTTCAACATCTCTGTATCATCCAAATGACTCCACCCAGGAGGATCAAGAAATTGTTGAAATTGTCAAACAAGGAGAACAGTTTAGGAACGACACTCGATCTATGAATGCGGTGAGTTACTCTTTATGCAAAAGCAGATGTGCCTATCGTGGTACCTTATTTACCAACCATACTTACTAAACTGTTTTCTTGTTTTTTCTCTAGCAAACTCCTCTGGCAGTAAGTCGACATTGTGACTCAGTTTTGCAAGAATTTCCTGTCACCCACAATCATGATCAGGATTGTGAAATGGAAGGGGATGAATGTCTTCAAGAACAATCTGGGTCCCCGTGTGCTTCTGGTGGCCTACATATGCCTAATTCGGTTATGAATTTCACTAGAAGAGCTCGCATGAGATATTTCAGCCATTGCGTACCTCCTGTCCAATATCCAATCTCATCTGACTCTAATATTGGCAGTACTGGCAGTAGTCCAGGAAATGGAACATCATTTCCCAGTGGTAAAGTTCGTCGGACAAATTCCTGTCCAGAAATGGAAAAGTCTCAAGGTATAATAAAACATTTTTAAATATAATATCTGTTTTTTAAAACCCATGTTAAAGCTCAGGTACATAGTAATTGTGTTGTAATTGTTAACTCCATTGGTTGTTTGTTTTTGTATTTTTTCTCCAGCAAGTGATTTAAAAGTTGACTGCACAGTGGAGGAAGAATTTGAAGATTGTCTTCAGAATGAGGATGCAACTACGCCTCAAAATTCGATTGGTGAGGAAGCTTTGGTCAATGGTTGCACTCACTTGCACCTGAAACCAGAAATGGTAACAGAAGGCACTCAGACTGTAGAATGCGCTCCCTATGAATACCTGTTCATGTCAGTGTTTCCATCTATGGAACCTCAATCCAGTCAGGCACCAAGCCCAGCACCATTTTCAGCTTTTAATGAGCAGAACATGTTTCAATCTAAGGTAAACACAAATGACCCATGTTCCTTGCTTTATGTATGGCTCTATATTTTACTGTCTATACCATATTATAAAAATATTTTCAGCTTGAAAATGTTAGTCCTCAAACACAGTTGGACCAGTTTCTGTGGAATATCTTAGAAATACGCTCAAAAAGTTCGAATTCTGAGGCTGAAAACAGGGAAAGCAAATTTAGAGAACAAATTATGCTGCTAAATATTCAGCTCCAATTTGAGCGCCAGCGCCGAGAGGTGCACGCCGAAAGAAATCGGCGTTTGTTGGGAAGATCTCGGAACAACCGTGCTTTGGAAGAAGTTAAAACTGCACTCGTAAGTATTTTAGTGAGTCTCCCTGCAATAATACACTTAAAATTCTTTTGACATTTGATTAATAAAAAAAAATCAACAGAAAGAGCAACTTAGTCTTCTGCAGCATGAATTAGAATCAGTTAGCAAGGAGGTAACAAGACAAAGGGAAGAATCAAATAGAATAATACAAGAGGAGCAAGCATCTGTTAAATATTGGGAAGAACAGGTAACAAATTTTCAAGTTCCACAGTTACATGATATCCAATTTTATATTTTTCTCTTTGTCCATTTTATTTTCATTATCTTTTGCTTTCATTACAAGTGTGTACAAGCACAAAACAGTTCCCGTGAGTGGAAATCAAAATTCGAGGATATGGAACAAAAATTTCTCCAGGAACAAAAATCTACTGCAGCTGTACAAAAGGTAGAAATCTGCTTCAGTGATATATTGTTATAAATTTAATTGTTTGTGTTGTGTTGTGCCAATCTAGTAGTAAGTATGAAATGTTACATCATTCCATCACATTTCCATCACAAAACTGTATTATTTTTAGGAATATCAAAATGCACAAAGCAAGCTTCTTGATATAAGTAATGAGAAAAGGCAAGCTGAAATGAATGCTGCTGCTGCAGAAAAACTTCAGTCAGAAGTACAGCAACTGCAGAAAGAGTTATTGCTTGCTGGAGAACAACATCAACGCCTGAATGAGAAAATTAATTACATGTCTCTAAATCACAAACGACCAGAAGAATTTACAAGTATCAAGGAGGCTTATCATGATGAACTTAATAGTGAGTTACTTTTCCTAGACAAAGTAAATACAAATTCAAGGTAAATCTCTTTTAGAACTAATATTAATTTTTAACCTCTTCACTTTCAGATCTTCGTCAAATTTTAGACTCTAAAAGTTCTTTGTTGGAAGCCACAAAAGCACGTGTTGCCGAGCTTGAGTCTAGTGCTACAAATAATGCTCATCACATGAATGAGAAAAAAAGACAGCTTAAAGTTGTTAAGGATGAATATAATGATCAGTTACAGGTAACAAAAATTTCTTCTAATCTTGTTGTAATAATGCATTGTAATAATTATATCTGCGCCACTCCATGTGAATGAACTGCCCAGTCATGGAACTTTGCTCTTAAGGCTTGTACTATAACCAAAATTTAAAAAAAAAAAACTTGTCATACTTAAGATTTGTATTTTTATGACAAATTTATAATTAAATATTAATTAAAATAGAAATGTTTTACCAAGATTTGTTTAAGTGTGAATGTGTACATGTTAACTGTCCCTTAATACAATGATCATCTTGTCTTGAAGAGTCAACTCTCGCTAAAGTGTTTTAGCCAACGCTATGCAGAAACCTTACAGCTTGAGTTGACTGTATCTTTTTGAAACGTCAATCTGAGTTTTATTGAGTATCTGTGTCATTTATACAGGCAGTTGAAAGTAAATACCAGGCTCAAAAAAAGATCAATCAAAGGCTTCAAGAAAACAACTTGGAGTTATTAAAAGTAATTGCTGAGTTAAAGAGTAAGCGAAAACGGGAAGGAAGAGAGCCTACAGCGTCTCAGCCAGCTGCAGCAAGCTCCTCTTCACACCTCACTCACCCCAAAAGCCCAGATAGTGTGTGTAGTGATGACAGGCTGCCACACTCAAGTTCACCTTTATCTGAATCCTTAAGCTCATCAGAAGGAATGTCATTGCCAGGTATGCACTCTGCAGAGCGGTTTACTATTTGCTATTTACTTACACTGGTTGTGTAGTGAGGTAATGAAATATTTGTTTTTTATGTACAGGAATTTTAGCTAGAGATGTTTCAACCATCCAAAATTTACAAGTAATAGTTGACCAACCAGAACAGCTTGCAGAAGCAGTACCAACACCGTCCCAACCGTTAACTCCCACAAAAACAAAATCATCAGCCTCCTCTGCGGTTGTTAGCAGCAATGTTAGTGATGAGGGATAATATTTTGTCTTATGTACCTATAAAAAGTTTAATATACTGTTAAAGATATTAGTTTTTTAAGTTGGGTTCTTTTCTGTCATATAGTTGATAAAATTTGTGTTTTGTGATTGTGGTGTACTATTATTTTATATATTGCCCCTACAGCATTGTATTTGTTAAATACATAAGTGAAACAAATCTATACTTAATATTCTTAATGTCTTATGTGATTGCAAAAAACCATGATCAAAAAGTTGTTTTCTTTTGAAAAGGAAATAGAGGACCCCATTCAATTTCTTTTTTCTTCAGAATTCTCTCATTGTATATACCACTTCTTTCTTAAATGAAAATATAATTTGTTGGTAACTTTTGAAAGCTTTTAATTTGACGATGGTTTCTAGTCTCAACATTGTGAATAAACTCAGTACATGGTCAGTGCATTTTGTTATCTAACTTTAGAGATTTTGTGTCCTTGAATATCATGGATCAAATTTTGAATTATGATTGTTTATGTTGCTGTTGGTCAATTTTGTTTTTGAAAAGTACCTTGGTGGTTTTGTTGTGTACCCTCTTTATACAGTAACATTTTTGAATTGTGCCAGTGCTACTGATTTTTAAGGAAAGATTACGGTAATGTTTTGATCCCTCTTTTCCAAGGATCTCTGTGAGTTAGATAATCATGATATGAAGGAATTAAACTAATTTTACTTGGAATGATTGTTTTGTTTTCTAAATTTTTTATTTTCCTAACTTTATGGAAAGGGTATCTGTTTTTTCTAGATTTCGTACATATTGATGTAACTGGACTATGCTTTCAGCAAATCCCTTGTTACATGTTACTCTTCAATCAGCTCTCTATATTTGCCAACAGTTTTGAGTGCTGGCCCGCATTGCAAACAGAAGAGTAGAGCAGATTTAAATGGTGACAAATTTTTGAAAATAAAATCACTTTGAAACATCTTACTTCTTAAAGCTCTACTTTATTGTCTATCCATCTGTGTAAATAACATTGATGAGATAAGTTTTAACAAAGGATGACAAAACTCTTCCTTTATCTGTTTCTGTTACCTTCTTCAGTTATTCCTGTTCTATAGATATGGAGTTTGAATCAAGTCTTTACCGTCAATGTTAGTACTATATGACTTCCTCACTGAGTTCATTAGAAATTCTCCCCCCCCCCCCCCCATTCATTCATGCCTGTTTACTTCACATTCTGAAGAGAGACCTGAGATTTTCTCTTATATTTTCCATATAGCTTCTTCCAGTTTTGGTCATCTGTATTTATGATTTCACACTTTTTCTAAGATTGTATTTTGTTAAATATGCTGTCCAGTGAGAATGCCGGTAACTCTAAAAGCAATGAGAGAAGTAATGGATGATGGAGGAATCAACAAAAGACTGAGAATCAAAGTTTACTTCGGCAGCCCATTTAATGGGATGACGCAATGAACATTGTGTTAGTGCTGGTCTGTGGAAATGTTTGGTTCGAAATAATTGGAAATGGTAAAATATTCATGTTACATTTGTAAATAACCACATACATTAGATTTGTCAAAATTTATTGCACATTGTGAGAGACAAAAGATGAGTCATGTTTTGTTTTCTATTTATCCATGTCAAAACTCTATTTACTTATGATTTTAAGATGGAGTGGGGCCAAGTATTTGATAAAATCTATAGTAGTAAGGAAGAACTGGACAGCTGCTCACAGGGCTAGCTTTTGGGCAAGTTTTAAAGAGTTCTTTGTATTGTCCCCATGAAACCTCTGTGTACAGACCATAAATGGGCAACTGTGAACGGTCCCTGGAAGTGTAATTTGTTGACTGAACGTGTTGTTATCTCCTACGGCCATATGTTTAAGTTAATTGATTGTTTTTAATGTGATGTCTTTGTGGCAATGTGTTGAGTTTTCCATGTCAGAATATATCTGACAAAGGTTTGTAAGAACGAGATTAAAACTACATAAAAGCTCCTACACAATGTTTTGATTGCATTCTGAAATTCGTGGAAAATGCATGAATTCTTGGCCCCAACTCAAATTGTTGGGCTAGAGTTATATCACGGTTGGGTTCAATGTTATAACCGTGAGCATACGGGAATACAGCTAAAGTGAAGTAGACCAACAAATATTTTATAGTCAAAATGTGTAAGTTTACATGTACTTACCATCCAGTGCCGTTCTGTTAAAATAACCCACAAAATTTTTTTCAGCAGGTTCAAAGTTACACATTAGTTTCTTAAACATGACTCGGTCAAGACATTACAAAATTGGCCTGGGGCTAAAACTACAGATGATGGACCAAGACTGATATCAAAAACATGATCTTAGCTAAAAAGGGAGGCGCCCCGATTGTCCGAAGCTCGTTTGTCCGAACCTAATTTATCTATTTTAGTAAATAAAATGAGTAAAGTAGTT